CTTGGCGTTGCTTAGAATATTAAACCCTACAGGCTCCATGAGGACAGTTTATGTTTTACTTACTGTTGTACCCTTAGCTCTTAGAAGAATATTTGAAACATAGTAGACACCAGTAAATATTTATCGAGTGAACGACCAATATACAGATCCTCAAAATCTAATAAGTGTTGGCTATTATTTTATGCATTCCAACATCCCTGTCCCATCACAATCTTCACTACGGGAGTCGGAGCACTTTTCCACAGTAACACAAGGTGGCAGTATGAGTCTCCTTATGAGTCAGCCTAACTCTGGTTGCACTAGTCCTCGAGAAAGATGCTCTGCGGCATCTTTACTTGGAAATTTCTCCAGCAACTCTAGATTCTGGTTTTTCGTTTTAATGCTGAACACAAACTGTTTGGAGTTATTGCAGGGGCAGCTCTTAGCCGCCTTGCTTTGCAAATGAAGCAAAGTCTGCTGTCTGTAGGAAGGTTTAAGGCTGACCTGGCAGCAGAGCTCCTCTGTGCATAGCAGCAATGCTGTTTTCTATTCTTGTAGCCTTCCTATTAGCTCTGTTTCCTCTTAGCTATTTGTTTTGTATTCTTATAGCTCCTTTTGTAACAACCCCCCACACACACACCACACACACACATGCTGAGCCCAAAGTTATTTTAGAGTTGCAAGGTGCAACAATGTTACTCCCTTCCAATCCCTAAGAAAGGACAAAACAAAACAACCTCTTGAGTTTGTAGCGCAGGAAGGGTAATTCTGCAGTCCCTCCAGAAGCTCTGTGAGACTACAGGAACCACGACACCTTGTGAGCACCTATGGGGGTTCTTGCTTTAGAATGAACACCGCTGGCCTAGCGCCTTTCAGAAACTGTCACCCTGCACATTTCTTATCTCTTCCACACTCAGTTTCTGTATTTCTAAAATGAGGCTAAAAATCTCTGTGCTTCCTTGTTGGAGATGGGATCTGTGGTTGGAAGTGGCATTATAAATTGTAAAGAGTACGTTGTTTCTAAACTGTGAAGCATTACCAACTCTGCAGTGCATGAGCTAATGTTAGAATCATTTCCAGTTTATCTGCAGGGGAAAACCAGTTCCATCCGGTTTAAATGGGCTTGCCTTCATTCTCTCATCTGTAAAATGGGAGTAATGATAGCAACTCCACCTATTTCAGTGAGCTGAGACAAAAAAATAATAGATGTGAAAGTACTTTTCAAGTGAAGGTACTCTCATTTGTAAAAGGTTATTAGTTGAGGCAAATGACTTTCCTTGACTTCAGGATCCTGAAGAAAACAATTACAACTCAATTGTCTTCAAAGTCAGCATCTTTGATCTACTGCTTTCAGAAACTTTAAGAAATTAGGCCTTTAAAAGAGTTCAGAACAGGGTTGAGGCTGTAGCTCAGTGGAAAGCAGTTGTGAGATGCCCTCGTCTGGATCCCAGCACCACAAAGAAATACAAATTTAAAAAAAAGAGAGATGCTGAAGATGATATTGCATTTAGGAAAGAATAAATAAAATTAAATGATGTTCTGAAGTTGGTACATGTTAAATGCTGTTCAAACACCTGTATTTGAGTGAGGTGTATTGTAGAAATAGTGTCCATTTGGTGCTTTGGTTATTGCTTTTTGTTGTTTTGTTTTTGCAGTGTGAGGGACTGAACCAGGGCCTCATACATGTAGGGTGCCAAGTGTTCCACCCCCGAGCTACCCCACAGCTCTGCAGTGATCACTTAAAATGTTAACATTCAACTAATCTATCAGATACTAGGTATTTTAAATATGTTATTTAATTTTACAATTTTTTAGTCCTGTGCAGAACCCAAGAAAAATGTGAGCCTCATTTAAAGTTGAGGGAACTGAGGTTACTAAGAGAGGTTGCTCAGCTTATCCCTAGTCTAGGATCCAGGATTTCCTGTCCCTGCTCCTCCCGGATTTTTCTCAGCAGGGTTACCGTGGACTTCTCTGTTTGGTAGTGAGGATGAACTCATCATCTCCAAGCCGCAAGCCAGCAAGCCTGAGCTAGGAAATACCGTGGATGGAATGTAGCCATCCTGAAGAACCTGGATGAACAGGATACTTCTTAGCCGATACGATACATAATGTGTCTTCCTAAACTAATTTCAAGGGCTTAAGGAATTTGGGCTCTGACTTTTTGAGTATACAATTTTACATAGAGATTCAACTACTTTTCCCTTGAATATGTCCAGAGTCAACTTACACCTTTAAAAAAATAAAAATGTTAATTATTAGATTTTAGGAGTTAAAAAGAGAACAAAAATTACGAGGTAAGAAGAGCTCTTAGATATAAAGGCCATTTAAATCTCCTGGGAGGGATCGGTTATTTGAGAATGATGTGGCGGTGTTGTCACACGTAATAAGGTAATCTGAAAAGGCATTTATCCTTGCAGATGTAAAAGTTTTTACAGACTAGCTTAGTGAACTGGATGTCATTTTAATGTATGAATTTTGGTATACCGTGTTTACAGGGAATTTTAATTACTTAATTACTTTGAAATGACACCATTCTAAACTATCACATCTATTTCATTGCATTTTACTTGTTGATAAGAGTGTTCAACTTTAGGGTTTAAAGCCAAGCAGCAGAAGAAAAGAAAAATGAAAAAAAGCAAAAAAAAAAGAAGAAGTAAAGTAAAGCTAAGAGACCTTCATATTTCGGTATCAGGTTTGGCTGTTTATTTCTGATTATCTAAAGAATGATATTGACACCATACTTTATGACTTCTTCATCCCAGATGTAAAGAGTCCTTGTAACATTCTGTTCCCTTGAAGATTTATCCAAGTAAAATATTTGTTTGCATAGATCTACATGTAACAATTAACACTATCTTTCAGTTATGAAAAAATAGCCCTCAGAGCTTGCAAATGGAAATATAAAACTCTTACTGAAACATTCGTTTATTGCCCCTTATCTGCTTTTAGAATAATAGATTTTTATCTTTCTTAATGAGTAGTTGGTTTTAACCGGGAAACTTAAAGAAAAGTAGGTTTCTAGTATTTTAATCTAAATTAATATTTAGATTTTTGAAGATTTTTGAAGAGTCCAACAATAATGGGTGAGTTATGATACTATTGCAAAAGTCAGATAACAGAAGCAAGTAGGAAACCATAGAGGGAGATGTCTAGAATTCATTTAGTTACTGTTTCTTTGGTATGGGATTTCACCACTCTTTCCTGAGGTATCAAAGTCAAGCCTCTCCTGCATCCAAGAGCTGACAATCTCTGAGAGACACATTACTGTCTCTTCTGAAAGAAACAATAAGACCTGGTAACAGATGAATCATATCCGTGGCCCTCTGAGAGGCGCTGATGCTCAGGGAGTTTTGAAGCCCAGGACAGAAAAGATGAGAAAGCTTGCAGTTATGTGTAGGTTGGAATTCCCATGACTTGGTTTGGTGACTTGGAATTTCAGGGATGATTATAGTTACAAAGAGGATTGGATGGGCCAGGAAAGGTCACGGGGACCCTGGATTTCTTTTAGCATCATCAGTTATAAGATTGGCCTTGCACTGTTTCTGCTATGTTAAGAGAGTGTGTTTTTCCCTGGAAAGTGATAGAAGGCATCTGTTTTCTTAGTTACTCTGGCTCATACCTGCTCCGCTTAGAAGGAGGGTGTTATGTGTGATTGGCAGCCGGACACTAACCTCCAAAACTGCCTGGAGATAAAGTCACCTGGCTTCCAGGAGACAGTAGTGTTGCTTTTGCTTGCTGGTCCCACTTATTGTTACCCAGTCCCAAAGGACTGGTTTTTGCTACCTAGAACATCAATTCAGACCTAAGATAAGCATTAGGAGAGTGTCACCAAGTGTTGAGGGTAAAGTTAATTCTGTGCAGGGGTCAAGAAAAGGCAGGCAGGGGGTGACATTTTAGAGGATGCCTGAGCAGGAGGAGCACTTCGCTAGCTAGGAAAGGGGAGGGAAGGGTGTGCAAGAGGCACAGGGTAGGAGAGCAGGGGTATGGGGTGTGAAAGGGCTGTTCAGGAAAAGGTGAGCAGTTAGGTGACAGCTGGATACAGGGTCACTGAACCCGGAACAGGTCATTGTAAGAAAGAATGTGACCCATGCCATAAATTAACAAGCTCTATTTTTCTGGAAAAAGACGTTTGGAAGAAGTGTCCAGTTATTGTCCACTGACTGCCTAGCTCCGTGTTAGGCACAGTGGAAGGCCCTTGCCCTAGAAGTGCTCATTCCCTATCCGGAAGGGGAAAAAAATCCTCACAATTACAAGTAATATGAGAGTCTCCAAGGAAGAGCATTTAGTAGCTTACAGCTCGAGGCCCCTAACAGCCCTGCTGCCCTGGAATTACCCAAAGGAGGAGGGGGGCACATCCCGAAGGTCAGCTGGGATAGCAGAGGGGTTGGAGGGCTTGGGGTTCCTGCACTGGCTCACATGGATCACTGCGATTACCGCACTGGGGAGAAACAGCTGGTATCTCCAAGTGGATGCGGGGAAACTGAGGCACACCCAGGGTGTCTGGCTCGAGTGCCGCAGTCCTGTTCGCTTCAGTATCTCTGAATCTAGCACAGTACCTATGACGAACACTTAGGTCTTACAATAACTAACCAGTTTCCCTCAAAAATTGCATTTTCACGACAATTCGACTTAAGTCAAAATAAAGACCTGTAAACTCCAAGTTTGTAAATGAGGAGAAAAGTGGAGTAGTACAACTCTAAACTTCTGCCTGACCCACGGCAGGCGAGAAAATGTTTCTCTTATTTAAATACATACTTTTTCCTTTTGGGACATGTTGATCTTTTTGAACGCTAGGGGCTCCCGAATTCTCCGGTTGGAGAGTAACTTTTCCTTTTGGGAGTTTTTTTTTTTTTTTCTTTTTTTGGAAGGGGGTGGGGGAAATGTGGCCTTAATTATCCTACGTTTTAGGCAGCTTAAGGAAGGGGCTGTACTTTCGGAATCCGGTCTGCGCCAAGAGAGGAGGGCCCTCCCCTTCTCTCTCCTTCGCTCTTTTTAAAGGAGCTCGTGAAATAAAAGTGCAGAAAACAAACCGAGCGGCCGCAGCTGCAGCAGCAGAAGGAGGCGGAGGCGGAGGCGTAGCCGGAGTCGGTGGCGCTGCGGGCCGCGGAGCTCGGCGCTGCCCATTCATTGCGCGGCCGCGGAGGAGGCGGCCGGAGCCCCGGTGCCCCTCGCCCGCGCGCACACAGCCCCGGCCCCGCCGTCCTGCCCGGCGCTGCAGCCTCCGCTCGGGACCCGCGCTCTCCCGGGACGTTCGCGCGAGCGGGGCGGAGCGGAGCGGAGACAGCGCGGCCGAGCCAGCGCCATGCAGAGCTACAAGTACGACAAGGCGATCGCGCCCGAGAGCAAGAACGGCGGCGGCCCCGCGCTCGGCCCCGGCCCGCGCAGAAGCGGCGGCAAGCGCGCGCTGCTCATCTGCCTCGACC